AGACGGCGAGATTTGTGGTGGCAGTGCCCCAGCCGTAGGGTACGTAATACTTTCCTTGCCCTGGGCACTGGCAACCCATGTTATGCCACTGCCTCTCTCTCTCTCTCTCTCTCTCTCTCTCTCTCTCTCTCTCTCTCTGCTTGCCTGTCTAGGGTGGCATTGGCCCCAGAAGCAGCACGGCCCGTAGCCCGCTTTCCTCACACTTTCGACACCACCCCGCACTGTCCCCTCAGTGCTGAAGGCAAAGCTGTCCTATCCCTTCATTTGCTGGCATCCGTCTGTCTCAGGAGACCATGGAGGAGTGCGCCTTTGGGGGTGAAGTCAAACTGTTGGAAGGTCGCAGCGCCTGCTGTGGCTGTAGAGACGGATACAGGAGAGACATGTTTCGTTGCAGCTGGGGCAGAGGAAGGCGTCCGGTTGTGCTGCTTGCAGATGGACCTTGGCTTTTCTTCTTTCCGTGCTCCTCCCTTCTGTACTGTGGGAAAATCCAAGAATCGTAGAGATAAAGATTGCTTACACACACACACACACACACACACACACACACACACACACCCTTTCATTCCTGCTTGCAGTCTTGCAAGAAAAAGGGAGAAGAAATATCGAGAAAAACCAGGGGTTGGAGTGTGGGACGAAGTTGGAGGCTGAGGCCATTCCAGGTGCAAGAAGAGCAGAGAGCATTTTGATGTCATCCATCCATGTTAGGAAACCCACTGGAAGGGGCAATTAGCATAGACAATGGAATATCTTTTTCACCGAAGGAGGGAAGATAATTAAATGTTCCTTCATCAAAGCCATGACAGTTTGCAAGCTGCTCTCCCTTGTAACTCTATCACGTTCACCTCCTGAGAGGGACTTTTCAGGTGGGCCAATTGCCCTCCAGGCTGCAGATGCATTTGAGTGCCTTGGGGCCGCCTGCGAGGGGGTATGAATTCTGCTCTCGGAGGTGAGCGCGAAAGGTATGACGTGCTGGGTGGCGGCGGGGGAAGGTTGCCAGTTGTCACGAGGTGGAGGGCAAGAGTTTAAAGAATGATCCAGTCACGGGGGCGGGAGAGGGGGATGGACACAGGTGGTTGGTGACAACGGCAGGACTGCAAGGTCTCCAGTTCTTATTGCAGCCTAACTTATTACTCTCTGCCATTGTGAGCTCAGGTCAAAGGTCAAGGAAGCTCACCTCTTTGTCAGTCTCTGATCAGGGCATGCTAAGAATAACTAGGAAGGGGGAAAACAGCTTAAATCGCGGCTCCTCCAAAGGTTCCCATTTTCGAGGGACAGTCCCGAATTTTCAGAAGCCATTCCGCTTTCTGAATTGATCCTGGTATGTCCCGATTTTCCTTAGGATGTCCCTGTTTACATCAGAGCAATGTATGGGGGTATGGAGTTATGCGACCCCCGAGCCAAGGAGATGAACAACTATTTAACCTGTAGAAGACATCTGAAGTTTTATAGGGAAGTTTTATTATACAGTGGACGCTCGGGTTGCGAGCGGGATCCATGCGGGATGCACGTTCGCAACCCGCAGCGGCGCATCTGCGCACATGCGGGTTGTGATTCGGTGCTTCTGCACATGCGCAAAGTGCAATTTAGTGCTTCTGTGCATGCGCGACTGCCGAAACCCAGAAGTAACACATTCCGGTACTTCCGGGTTTCGACGGGTCCATAACCCGAAAAAACGCAACCTGAAGTGTCTGTAACCCGAGGTATGACTGTATAGGGAAGTTTTATTATGTTTTTATATATGTTAGAAGCCACCTAGAGATAGAAGCCACCTAGAGTGGCCCATTCAGATGGGCAGGGTATAAATAATAAATTTTTTATTATTATTATTGTAGTTGTTGTTGTTGTGGAATAGGATATCCCTATTTTCATCATATCCCTGTGGTTTTCCCAGTAGTGATGTATGGAAGTGAGAGCTGGACCATAAAGAAGGCTGCTTGCTGAAGAATTGATGCTTTTGAATTATGGTGCTGGAGGAGACTCTTGAGTCCCATGGACTGCAAGGAGATCAAACCTCTCCATTCTGAAGGAAATCAGCCCTGAGTGCTCACTGGAAGGACAGATTCTGCGGCTGAGGCTCCAATACTTTGGCCACCTCGTAAGAAGAGAAGACTCCCTGGAAAAGACCCTGATGTTGGGAAAGATGGAGGGCACAAGGAGAAGGGGACGACAGAGGACGAGATGGTTGGACAGTGTTCTCGAAGCTACCAACATGAGTTTGACCAAACTGCGGGAGGCAGTGGAAGACAGGAGTGCCTGGCGTGCTCTGGTCCATGGGGTCACGAAGAGTCGGACACGACTAAACGACTAAACAACAACAACAATTTTCATCAGAGTCATGTTGCAGGGTATGAAACCCAGCCTTGACTAATCACAATATTCTGTTGTTGCTTTATTTGCCACATCGACCGGCCCTGGATGAAGGGGTGATGGAGAGGTGGGGGGGGGGGTGTCATGCTGAAATCTCCTTGCTGCCGGACTCCTGAGGAAAGACCTGAAGAGGAGTCTGTTTACTCAAGGCATGACAATGCAGTAAGTGCCCTAATGTACTGCTGAGGCCCTTGAAGTAATGAAGAGGAATAAAGCCATCGTAAAGAGAAAGAAGGGAGGCTTTTAAAAACGCTCATTTCCTCTTCCTTCAAGAAGAAGCTGGGATGCTAGCTCAGCCAGTGAGAAGGAGGGAGGAAAAGGTTTTAGCACCAGCCTGTTAATGTTTTCCCTGGCTAGGATTGCAGAAAGTGCCGTCTGCGGCAAATGATTTGTGTTCAGAAGCACCCTCACATTTCCTTGTGATAGTTTCTGTCCTCTCTCTATAGGACCTTCAAGGGCTTATCTTGGCTGGATTGTTAAGGAGCCCACCCTTTGAGGTGGATCTGTGTAAAAGCTTCATAGAAAAGAGAAATGTTGCTACGTGCGGTTTTCCTCCTCATGGTGCTGCCGTTTCAGAGGCCAGTGCTATCGCCTAAGAATAATTTTTGTTTGGTAAGTTGAAGGGGTGTTGGTTTTTCCCACCTGAGAAAAAATGGCACCAGAACTCACCATGAACGCCTCCCTTGTTCTCTTAGAATGGCAATGGTGCCTACCTGAGAGGTGCTGGAACTGAGATCCAGCAAGTTCTGACTGAAGAAAAAAGCTCTGAGAGTGATCCATGAATAAACTGCCTGTCACAACCTTCCGTAATGGGCAGGTATACAGGCCTACCCTGTATCCGGTATTGCTCCTGGACTAGATTACCTTTGGGTCCCTTCCAACTCTACAATTTTTTGATCTTGTGATTCTATGATAGCGTCAGGGCTTTTTTCCCCAGTCAGAACTTGCCGGAACTGTTCCAGCACCTCTCCGGTGGGTGCCATTGCCATTCTAAGAGAACAAGGGAGGTGTTCACAGTGAGTTCTGGCACCTCTTTTTCCAGAAAAATAGCACTGGACAGTGTGTTCTGAGGTAAATGGTGACCCCATCATTCTACCCCAGGTATATGCCATGCTCTTCCCTCTTGGACCCTCCCCCCTAAGCAAACTTTAAAAGAGAGTAGAGGCACCCTTGTAAGCCGCCTGTCAGGCTGCAGAGGAACCAACCCCCAAGGCAGCTTGCCAGGAATGGATAAGACAAGGAAAAGTCCTTACCATCTACTTTTTATTCAATATTTACAGAGAGAGGCTTGAGAATGCCTTGGGTTAAGAACTTAATTTGTTCCGGAGGTCTGTTCGTAACCTGAAACCGTTCTTAACCTGAGGTACAACTTTAGCTAATGGGGCCTCCCACTGCCGCCGCACAATTTCTGTTCTCATCCTGAAGCAAAGTTCTTAACCTGAGCTACTATTTCTGAGTTAGCAGAGTCTGTAACCTGAAGCATCTGTAACCTGAGGTACCACTGTAATGGCGTTGTCCAGAGTAATCTCCTTCTCTCCCACATCCTCATTCGTCATCTCTTCTATGGGTGGCGCTGAGGGACCTTTGCTTCTGAGACCTTTACTCTCCTACTTTTAAGGCTCTCCAGGTTCTGGGAGATGGTGGGTCTGGAATGCTTTCTAGAGATAACATGGCAGCCGGCTGCTCCGGCTCTGCCTCCACCTCCTCTCTCATTATTTCCCAACTTTCCCCCTCATCTTCCTCTGAGCTCTAATCTCCCTCAAACCCCTGTTGTAATTCTGAACTGTCTTCTTCTTCTCCTCTGGAAGGGTCAGGCTGGGGGAGCCATCTCCACCATTCCTTCTCTGCCCAGTCCCTGACACCACCTGACCTGAGGCAGAGAAAAATCTGGATTCAAAGATTCTTTATAGGACTGGCTGAGTACAGTGGTACCTTGGGTTACAGATGCTTCAGGTTACATGATTTCGGGTTGCACACTGCACCGAACCCGGAAGTACTAGAAAGGGTTACTTCCGAGTTTCGGCGCATGTGCAGAGACAATAAATCGTGCTTTGCGCATGCGCAGAAGTGCCGAATCACGACTCGCGCATGCGCAGACGTGGCACTGCGGGTTGCGAACGTGCCTCCCTCACGGATCACGTTCACAACCCGAGGTTCCACTCTATGTACAGAGCGGAGCAGACTTTGGAAGGAACGTCCAAGTCTTAAAACAGGAGAATCGGTTTAATATAGAAGTTTTGTCTCCAATGTGAGAAGAGAGTCCCAAATGGGAACATCCAAGTAAATAATGTCTATGTGGCCTTGGATAAATGGCGCTATATCATTGATCCTGGGTTTCTCTGTGTTTAGAGTGGACAGGCTGATATTTACTAGCCCCGCAGGGGAGGGAGAGCTCATTAAAGTTTAAGAACTGCTTCAGGACACTTGGCACTTAAGGAGGCGCAAGCTACTGTAGTCTGTTGTGTGCCAATTCACCATATGGCCAGGATGGAAATGGAGTTGGTACGCTGCCAGGATTTTGGACAACAGTCTCTGTTGTGCCATTAGCCACAGGAAGCGACTGAACCGAGATCACAGGGACAGCGTTTCTTTGAACCCTAGGAGATCAATGTTATCAGGTTTCATCTCTGAAAACCAGGGTGGTGTAGTGGTTAGCATGTCAGATTAGAATAATACGAATAGCAGAGTTGGAAGGGACCATGAAAGTCATCTAGTCTAACCACTTGCAGTGTAGGAATCTCTAGCCCAATGCAGGGCTTGAACCCATAATCTTGAGTTAAAGCATTTCAGGAGCTACCATCAGTAACAGACCAGAAAAACCCAGGTTTTTATAGGGACAGAACTACCTAAATTGCATGCTACTACAGCAGCAAGAGGGAAGCGGGTGGCGCTGTGGGTTAAACCACAGAGCCTAGGTCTTGCCGATCAGAAGGTCGGCGGTTCGAATCCCCGTGACGGGGTGAGCTCCCGTTGTTCGGTCCCAGCTCCTGCCAACCTAGTAGTTCAAAAGCACATCAAAGTGCAAGTAGATAAATAGGTGGGAAGGTAAATGGCGTTTCCGTGCGCTGCTCTGGTTTGTCAGAAGCAGCTTAGTCATGCTGGCCACGTGACCCGGAAGCTGTACGCCGGCTCCCTTGGCCAATAAAGCGAGATGAGCGCTGCAATCCCAGAGTCGGCCACGACTGGACCTAATGGTCAGGGGTCCCTTTACCTTTACCTTTTACAGCAGCAAGAATGCTACTTGCTCCAAAATGGAAAGCAGAAGTCCCAGCAAAAGAAGAATGGATACAAAAACTTATGGAATATGCAAAAATGGCAAAACTTACTGGAAGAATAAGAAATCAAAATAACAAACTTGTTATAAAACAATGGAAATGGTTTATTGAATATTTACAGATAAATTGCAAACAGATAAAAACATTGGCAGGATTATTGTAAGGATTATTATAAGAGTAGGTATTTAAAGTAGATAATTAAATGAGCAAATTAAATGAATTTGGATCTGCAGAAGATATTAAAAAATAAATTTAAGGAATTGCAGAAAGAGGGGGAAGGAAGTCAAGTTTTGAAATGTTAAAATGATTGTAAAATTAGTGAAATGTATAAACCTGAAAAGCAAAAATATTTTTTTTTCAAAAAGTGAAAAACATAAAAAGCAGATTGCAGTGACTTGATTTGATTTTTTATATTACTATGCCACCTTTCATTCAAATGAATCTCAAAGTGGCCTACAAATAATGAATAACAATAACATGATAGAACATAATGGAACATCGCAAATACAGCATAAATCAGAGGGGGAAGGAAGTCAAACTTTGAAATGTTAAATTGATTGTAAAATTAATGAAATGTATAAACTTGAAAAGTGTCAATAAAAACTTTTAAAAAACACAAAAAACTCAGGTTCAAATCCCCACTCAGCCATAAAGCTCAGCCAAGTGACCACATTTGCCCGACCACTGACACTGAATGTACCGTATTTTTTGCTCTATAAGACTCACTTTTCCCCTCCTAAAAAGTGTGTGCGTCTTATGGAGCGAATGCAGGCTGCGCAGCTATCCCAGAAGCCAGAACAGCAAGAGGGATTGCTGCTTTCACTGCACAGCGATCCCTCTTGCTGTTCTGGCTTCTGAGATTCAGAATATTTTTTTTCTTGTTTTCCTCCTCCAAAAACTAGGTGCGTCTTGTGATCTGGTGCGTCTTATAGAGCAAAAAATACGGCACATCAAAATACACCTTGTTGCTTGGCAGGACTATTCTGTGCCAAACTACACAGGGGTGCAACAGACCCCTGTGTATAAACTCAAGCCCTCTGCAATCACATAGAAAGCAGTGGGTGGGACATAGACGTCTCCTAGAAAAACTTTCCAGTGTTTGTGACTTAAAGTAGAATCCTGATTGTGCAGGGTTCTAAATTGCAAGGAGAATCGGAGGAGTTTACAGGGCCCTGTAGCTCACGTCTTCAAGCTCAGGAAAGGAGAGGGTGTACCGGAGAGGGTGGAATTTGGTAAAGCACCTCTTCCCCTCCTATATTCATTTACACATGAGCAGAGCTGTGGGTTAAACCACAGAGCCTAGGACTTGCCGATCAGAAGGTCAGCGGTTTGAATCCCCATGACGGGGTGAGCTCCCGTTGCTCGGTCCCAGCTCCTGCCCACCTAGCAGTTCGAAAGCACGTCAAAGTGCAAGTAGATAAATAGGTACCGCTCCGGCGGGAAGGTAAACGGCATTTCCGTGCGCTGCTCTGGTTCGCCAGAAGCGGCTTAGTCATGCTGGCCACATGCCCCGGAAGCTGTATGCCGGCTCCCTCGGCCAATAAAGTGAGATGAGTGTTGCAACCCCAGAGTCGTCCGCTACTGGACCTAATGGTCAGGGGTCCCTTTACCTTTACCTAGAGCTAACACTCCTTTTTTGCAGTGGTCAGTGGCGCAGTTAGTAACGTGGTTCTTGATGCCCCATCTTTCTGCAACTCCCCTTCTTGCAATTCTTGGCTGCACTGCCGTTATAACTTTTGTTTTTGCTCGAAAGTGCAAAGGCAAAAATGAAAATGATGGATCAATTTTTCATTCCATTTCCCCACCACCACCAAAACACAATTGTGCAAATAAAATATAATGAAAGAAGAATGAAGGTCCCAATACAAAAAAAATGTTTTGGTGGCTGGAATGGATGCAGGAGACAGCTGCTTAAAGGGCTTTTAGCTAAAAAATAAAAATAAAATTCTCTTGTCTTTAATCAGGACGGGTCCCTAACTCACCACATGCTTTTCATCCAGGTTCAATACTGGCTTTCCCAGCTAAATGTGAAAGACCCCTCTCTGCCTGGAGCCCTGGAGATCTGTTACCATCAGGCAGAGTAGACAACCTGTGTGTAATTACTCATTTCCTGAAGTAACGCAGGAAGGAACTAGTTGAGTAAATGACTAATGAAAGGACTGATACCTGGGAAAAGCAAGAGCTACCCCTCCCTTCTCAAAACACCTAAATCCTAGCCACACTTCCTAGGGAATAAATCCCACTGAACTGATTGGGATTTACCTCTGAGTACACAGACTTAGGGTCTTGCCTCGGGCGACAGGGATGGTTGAATGGTTAACGGGGCTATTGTATTACTTTAAGTGTCAGGAGGAACTGCTTTTTTAATTATACCTCTAGCTTTCACTGTAGGAGCAGCGCCCAAATGCCGGAAAGACCTTGTCCCCAAAGGGAGAAGGGGCAAGTCCCTAAAATGGGGGTGGCCAATAGAGTTACCACCCATCCCTAGAAAAACATGATCTTTTCTTTTGGAGAAAAGTATCCAGTGTCCTAGGGACGCGGGTGGCGCTGTGGGTTAAACCACAGAGCCTAGGACTTGCCGATCAGAAGTTTGGCAGTTCGAATCCCCGTGATGGGGTGAGCGCCCGTTGCTCAGTCCCTGCTCCTGCCAACCTAGCAGTTCAAAAGCACGTCAAAGTGCAAGTAGATAAATAGGCGGGAAGGTAAACGGCGTTTCCGTGTGCTGCTCTGGTTCGCCAGAAGTGGCTTAGTTATGCTGGCCACATGATCCGGAAGCTGTACGCCGGCTCCCTCAGCCAATAGCGAGATGAGCGCCGCAACCCCAGAGTCGGCCACGACTGGACCTAATGGTCAGGGGTCCCTTTACCTTTATCCAGTGTCCTGTTTGTACTTCAAATGGGATGCCTTTTTTCATGTATTCGAGCTCCTGCTTCTCCTCCTCGAAGCTGCCTAGGCAGAAGATGGGTCCAGTAGGAGAGCAAGAACCTAAGCAGGAGTTTGTGCAGGCAGAGGTCCATGGGGAGGAGAGCTGAGAGTGACAGCGAGAGCTATCACAGGATGCAGGCAGAGGGTGTGTTGGAACAGGGCTAGGAGGAGAATTTTCAGAGAGAGTATTTGCACAGGCAGAGAGTGGGTCACGGAAATCGAGAGAGGGGTTTGCTGCGCACAGGCCTGCTGGGCTGGGGTCTCAGGTTCTGCATGGGCAGTGGGGGTGGCGGGTGGGTCAGACTTGGAGAGTGAGGGGCAGGGGTTCCATAGCCCTGGTGGAGAGCGGGGGCATGAGAGTTTTGTGTGGGCAAGGGACTGGTGGGAAAGAAGACAAAGTCTCTACCAGAGAAGAATGGCAGATCAAGTTGATGGATTATGCCAAAATGGCTGAAATGACCGGAAGAATTAGAAATCAGGAAGACCAAAATTTTAATAAGGAATGGGGGGGGGATTTATAATTTATCTTAAAAACCCTTGTAAACAGCTAAAATCGTTGGTAGGATTGGAACGACACTTGCAGTTTAATGGTGAATTTCGAAATAATGGAGATGTAAAAGATTTGGATGCAGGAGGAAATGATTAACAATAGGACCCACAAAGGGAAGTCCAGGAGATTCTTTGAAATCTTATTTCTATGTTGTATGTTGGAAATGTCATTGTAAAATTTTAATCTGAAAAAACAAACAAATAAATTTAATAACGAGGCTTGTGGGTCAGAAATGGAGACTCTGAGTAAGATAGCCAGGGTTTTGGGTTTTTTTCAACAGACCTGGTCCGTCCATCCAGGATAGAGCAGGAAGTTATGAAATCATTTCTGCACCAGGTAAAGTAATTTTCAGTCATCCCCCTCCCAACCTTTCCTATATTTTGCCCAACCAAAGGTGGCAACCATAGTGACTAACCCTTCATCTGTTGTTGAACTAGTTTGCAATAGCCCCAGCCAGCACGCCCATTAGTCAGGAAGGATGGGAGTTGTAGTTTGGCAACATGTGGAGGCCCACAGACTAGCCAATGCAGCCCTGAAACCTCAGCCTTGATGTCCACAGCCTCCTCCAACCAGGTCCTGTTGGCTGTGGGTGATGGGAACATCATCTGAAACAACGTTGTGCAATGGAGGTTGGGGAAGGATGTTCTAGAGCAGCCTTTCTCAACCTGTGGGTCCACAGATGCTGTTGAACTACAATTCCCATCACCCCTAGCTAGCAAGGCCAGAGCTCAGGGATGATGGGAGTTGTAGTCCAATAACATCTGGGGACCTGCAGGTTGAGAACCGCTGTTCTAGAGGCATGTCTTTAATTCTAGTGACTATACCCAGCAACCAAAAAAATAAAATCCCCTTCTGATCTCATCTAGTATTCTCTGCTTATGAGACTTCGAAGACTAAGAAGGAGGACTGACTGGGCAGTCAAGCCATTGCATGCCTTAGTGCTTCATAATATCCACCATTCTCCATGGTTGACTCTGCTTCTGATCTAAGACGCCACATGGCATGTTGCAGAGATGTAATTTTCTGTCCTTTGCTACGACCCCTTGCTAATGCCTCTTTCTCTCATCCTTAACTAATAGTGATGGGAAATACTCCCCCTTTTGGGGTGCTTGAATGTGGTCCCTGAGTAGACGGAAGTGTGGCTTTTATCAAAAGTCCAAACCTGGTAACTGTCCTAGGCAGGGCTTTTTTCTTCTTTCAACTGGAGCTC